CTCTCTCCCCAGTCCATATTCAATAAAGCTCTGATGATTGGCAAGCTCACAATGGAGCAGGGAATTGGAGTTGGCAGCCCCAGATGTGGGAGGTGGGAGTTCAAATCCAATTCCTCCCAAGTGGGGGCTGAGGGTGAATAATGAACAAAAACGAGCTCAGAGGGCACAGCCCAGATCTCCTGGGACTCTGGGGTTTGTAATCTGCATTTGATCACCCACAACACACTCCAAATTTGCCTTTTTGAAGTGGTTTTGGGCAAGGCCTGGGACAGTGAGGGCTGGTGATGGAATTCTGACTCCACAGGAGCCAGAGGCAAAGCAATGCCAAGATGGATGGAAGCAGCATCTCACCCCTCAGCTCTTATTAATCTATTAGAAATAATATTAATTATGCCACTAGCACAAAAAGCAATTATCAAAATATTTTGCTAAACATCTTTAAAAAATGTTATTTACCAAAAACCACTCAACTGTATCAAAGCCTTGACAAAAAAGCTCTCTTAGAAATTAATAAATATGTTTGATTAGCACTTTCATGGATGCACAGATTCTGTATATGGGAGCATTATAGTGCATTTAATTATATATAAAGGCAATTAATGTCACAAATTAAGACTAAGCTCTGACTCAGGCTAAATAATTGTCATTATCTATCACATAACATGCCCAGAAAGCTTAACTCTGCAATGATTTTTATGAACAATAAACTTGGCATTTACATACCAAAACAATTTGGTGTAATTCAGTCTCAATAAGWAATGGCAACAAAAAAAAATCACTGCCATTCTTCAGGAATTTTTTTCCAAGCACGATCACATGGGTGTTTTTCACAGCGTGTGCATCACCATGGGAAGGGGAACGTTTCCTGTCTGCAGCGTGTGCTGTGGATGCTGCACAGAGCCCGAGGGTGAGGGGAGAATCCAGCCCTGTCCACAGCACCAGGGAGGTCATTTCATGTTTAGAGCATCCCAGAATGGTCATTCCATGATTACAGCACCCCAGGGAGGACATTCCCATGTCCAGAGCACCTAAAGAGGTCATTCCATGTCCACAGCACCCCAGAATGGTCATTCCATGTTTAGAACACCCCAGGGAGGTCATTTCATGGCCACAGCACCCCAGAATGGTCATTCGATGTCCATAGCACCTCAGGGAGATCATTCCATGTCCACAAAACCCCAGAAAGGTCATTCCATGTCCACAGCACCCCAGAGAGGTCATTCCATGTCCACAGCACCTAAAGAGGTCATTCAATGTCCACAAAACCCCAGGGAGGTCATTCCATGGCCACAGCACCCCAGAGAGGTCATTCCATGTTCACAGCATCCCAGAATGGTCATTCCATGTTTAGAGCACCCCAGAAAGGTCATTCCTATGTCCACAAAACCCCAGGGTGGTCATTCCCATATCCTCAGGGAGGTCATTCCATGTCCACAGCACCCAGAATGGTCATTCCATGGCCACAGCAGCCCAGAAAGGTCATTCCCATATCCTCAGGGAGGTCATTCCCATCACACCCCACCCTCGGGGCCCTGGATCCCTTCCAGAGGCAGGAATCTTTCCATGGATCTGCAGAGCCCAGGGAAGCTCCCAGCCCATCCAGGCACCATCATCTCCCTGCTCTGCACAGCCCCAACCCACCCACCCACACTCGGGATGGGCTTTTGGGGTAAAATCCCACCAGTTCCAGACTGGAACACCCCAGAACCCACAGCAGCCCTTTATGGGACAGAAAATGTGCAGCTGCTCAGTGCCAGGGGTACAAAACCCCTGACAAAACCCACAGGAGCTGCACGGTGCAGGTCAGGGTGTGCTCAGAGGGGAAGGAAACAATGGAAACAAAGTGCAACCAGTTGTAAAATAAAAGGCTCTAAACGGAGTTAAAGGCTCGTGGGTTGGTATTTGAAAAGGAGCTTGTGTGGGTGTAATAGTGTGGTGTAGTTTGTGAAATAAGAAATAAAAATTGATCTACGGTGCAGAGTGCAACAGCCTYGCCTTGTGTGAGCTCTTAAACCACAGCCTTGCTGGGCTCAGGACTTGCCTCAGAGTTTAATGCATAGAAATACGGGGTGGAGGAGATTAAAAAATTACTCGTGCAKTCATATTATTAAATATTTTTTAAAAATCGATATTTTTAGATTATCAGTTGTGTTTGTATGTGTTGATGCAGGATGCCCTGCCTGGAATGGGGTAAAACAACTCCAGCAATGAATGCCCTGTTTGCAAATCTGTCAGTGGTGCATGAAGGGGGGTCACGCTGCTTTTGGGGTGAATAATGCTGAGCCTGACTCATCAATCCCAAAGTTAAACATCCCAAGAGGGAGTGAAGATGTGTCAGAGCTGCTCAAGTGGCCAATAAAGTGGCACTTGTTTGTGCCACTACTGCTCCAAAGCTGCTGAGCTGACACAGCCTGGGCACATCTGAAGCAGAGCCTTCATCTGCTCAGCCCAGTCCCATTCCCCAATTTTCAGGGATTTGCAATGCACCCCTCTGGAATGTGTGTGGGGATTCCTCCATGGAGCAGGGACCCTCCTCAAGGTCACCCCTCGAGGCTGAGCTGGAGATTTGCCCACAGTCRCTGCTCGGGGTGAGTAACTTCAATCTCTTTTTGCTTTAATATCGTTTAAAAATAGTGCACTTTGCTGTAGCAGTGCTTCCAGCTTCTATGCCGGGTAGTAAAGAATTCTGATTAAGATCTTTTGGTTTAATCATGATGCTAATAAATAATTTGCCTTTACATAAAAGTATCTGGTTTGCCACCGTTAATCCTGCAGGAAAAGGTTGTGTCAGAGGCAGTAACACGGGGACAATCTGTTAGACACAAAAAGCTGGCAAATCTGGGGCTGAGGTTGGATCCTGAAGCACCCCAGCTCCTCTCTGAGGAGTTTAGGAAGTTGGGGGTCCTTTCTGCCCCTCATGACTGGGGATTTTATCTGGGGCTCCCAACCTGCCTGTGCATGTAACAGTGATCATGTATGTATATATATATATAAATACATATATACACACACAGATATATGCATGTCTATATGGAGATAAGCTTAAAGAGAGCCATAAATACATCCAGGTCCCAGCAGGGGAACAGYCACCACCTACCTTTGCCTGTCCATCACCGGTGATCCCATGGGGAAGGCACCAGTGGGGACACAAATCACAGCCAGCAGATTCCAYGTGKTTTTTTGTATMTGGAAACATTTCCAGGCTTTCCATRCCTYSACCTTCATGATGAGTTTGTTGCTCCCAGAGCCTTTAGGTGGCTGCAGCTCCCTCTCAGCACAGCCCATGGTGTCCCCACGGTGCAGAATCAGGCACGCTGTGACACCAACTCCTCATCTCTGTGACACCAACTCCTCATCTCTATGCACCATGGCCCTGCCGCAGCTGTCACGGCTTCTTCTGATGCTGATTAACTTCATCAGGATAATTGATCCAGTTGTCTGGAGAAAATGGGAGCCTAAATGCCTTCCCCAGGATCCGTCAGAGAGCCGGGCCGTGGTTRCCATGCCGAAGGTGGTGCGGGTGCTGCGCTGCAAAGGGAATGAGTTTTTCCTCTCACCTCTTCCCTAAACTTTTCCCTTTTCCCGTCCTGGCTTGCCCAAGCCGTGCCTGGCAGTTTGACTCATTAATTGCTCACTTAATTACCTTCTGGCGTGCTGTTGTACATAACGTCCTTCAAAGGCATCACAAGTCTCAGCAGTTGACAGCAGCTCTGGAGGWATCAAACACAGGAGTTGTCACTGGGGGACTCCAGCTTGGCTTTTGGGGTTGTTAYACATCCTTCAAAGTGCCTTTCAAGCACTTTTTTCCCCTGCAATCAGCTGCCAGCTCCCCCAAGACCTTCTCCAGAGCTGCTCCCTCTGTGCCAYGACAATCTCATGAAATAAATGTTAAATCACAAGGGGGAAGGGGGAGGGAACAACTAAAAAAATATATTTATTGGAGTAAATAAAAAAAAGTTAACCAAAATCCTTTATTGATACATTCTTGGATAATATCACAGGATTGAGAGAATGGAAAGGGAGGGAGGAGGTTGCGGCAAAGATTGGTTTCACTAAATTGGCACATAAGCAGCAAGATTAACGAAATTACTTATTACAAACAGTATAAAACATACATGCTTCTGTAAGTCCTTATCACACTGGTCAATCATGGTGGGGCATCAACAAAGAAAAACCTCAAGACATGTAAAAGCCATATTCTTTCCTCCAAATATCATAAGAATCATCGAAATTATTGCAAAATAGTCATATACCTTAAAGAAAAGAACAAAATAGAACACAAATACAAATATCCAACATAAATTATTAACATGTACCATAAAATACATTACTGGCATGCATTCCAAAGATCAAGACCTCTACTAAAACTCAGCAAAAATCCTTCCTGCTTCCTCTGCAGCCCATCGGAGGTGTGAAGGGGGGGGGAACAAACTTCGCCAGCACAGTTTTTGGTCTTTAAATTATTTTTTTTTTCTTTTGTTTAGTTAAAAAAAATAAGGTATATGGATTGCAGTGATACAAGAGTAATAATACAAGTCATGTACACAGGTCTCAGATCCTCAGTCGTCGGTTGGGTTTGAGAAGTGCYGAGAGCACGGGGCCTCAATGAAACTGTGCATCCAAAAAAACAAACAGTGACCTCGGAACAACATGGATGGCAATATGCAAAAAATCCTCACAAACTGTACAGAGAGTTCAAAAACTCGCAGTCTGGAAGTACATAGAAAGACAGAATTAGCCCCTTGGAGTCCGGAGCGGCCGAGCAGCGGGCCCGGGAGCCGCTCCAGTGCGGGGCCACAGCCCCATGGCCAGGCCAGCACTGTCCGAGCTGAGCCTAGCTGAGCTGAGCCTAGCTGAGCTGAGCCGAGCCGGGCCGAGCCGAGCCGAGCCGAGCCGAGCCGAGCCGGGCTGAGCCGAGCCGAGCCGAGCCGAGCCGGGATGGGATGGGATGGGATGGACGGAGCAGTGCCCAGAGCAGCCCGGAGCGCGGAGCTCCGCTCCCCTGCAGCAGCACAGCCGTGCCCGAGCGCCGGGCCCGTGTGGAGCTCAGCCGGCCGGGGAGGGCTCTGGGACCCCGGCAGTGCTTAGATCACCAGGTTGTTGTAGCTCACGTACTTCTTTTTTGCAGCAGGGCCTGCAAGAGAAGGGAACAGGGCTGAGAGGCGCGGGCAGAGCCCTTGGCGGAGCTGGCAGCGCTCCGGGCATGGCTCCGGGGGCACCGGGAAGGGATCGTGCCCGCAGCTCCCACCCTGAGCCCCAAGCCAAGCCAGGAGCCCCAAGCCCTAAACACTGAGCCCCAAACCCCAAACCCCGAGTCCCGGCCTCAGAACTCCAGGCACGGCTCCGGGGATACCGGGAAGGGACCGTGCCTGCGGCTCCCACCCCGAGCCCCGAGCTCCGAGCCCCAAATCCCGAGCTCTAAGCTCCAAACCCCGAGCTCCGAACCCCGAGCTCTGAGCCCTGTGCCCGCAGCTCCCACCCCGAGCCCCAAACCCCAAACCCTGAGCCCCAAATGCTGAGCCCCGAGCTTTGAGCCCCCAACCCCAAACGGCGAGCTCCGAGCCCCAAACCCCAAACTCTGAGCCCCGAGCTCCGAGCCCCAAACCCCAAACTCTGAGCCCCGAGCTCCGAGCCCCAAACCCCAAAACCCAAGCTCCAAGCTCCCAACTCTGAGCCCCCAATCCCAAACCCCGAACTCCGAGCCCCGAGCTCCAAGCCCCGGCTCCAGCCAGCCCCAGCCCCAGCTCCAGCTCCACTCTGACCGCAAACACAACCAGCATGGATTGATGGGGTCAGGCTCCCGCAGTCCGGGTGACTGCACTGCCGACGCACCACAACCACATCYTATTAAGATTTCTTTTTTTTAAATAAAAACAGTGATATTTCCTCCAAYGTCTTAAATCTCCTGGGCTAAACTCGGTTTTTCTCATGGATAAAGTGATTCTTATTCAAGTTTTATGACTTCTGAGAATTTTTCAATATGGGGGATGAAGGTACCAGCTTTCCTAATTCTGACCTTCAAATCGAATCTGTTGGCAAACAGAAGGGAATCAAAGCTGTCACAACTTTAGGAGCACAGCTTCATGTTCCCACCAGGAAAAACTGCAAATATTTGCAGCAGAACACAAAGCAAAATGTTCTGCAGCACTTTGGCAACAGTGACAGATTCAGGACACAGAATCATGGAATATCCTGAGTGGGAAGAGACCCAAAAGGATCATCCAGCCCAGCTCCTGGCCCTGTCCAGACCCCCCAAATCCCCCCTGAGCATCCCTGGCAGTGCTGTCCCAACGCTCCTGGAGCTCTGGGACCATTCCCTGGGGAGCCTGGGCAGTGCCAGCACCCTCTGGGGACACAAAAACCTTTCYCTGAGATTCAGCCTAAACTCCACAGAGATAAAAATAAGACCCTGGATTTAYAGTTATCCCAGTTTGCTAAAACACTAAAGTCTAAATCCCACAGTTTTTGAGAGAATTTGGCATAACTTAAGCAGTTTGCTGAATATTTCCAGCCTGCTAAGCTGGGGCAGACTCCACTCACACTYTGGATGATGTTTTTAACGTGGTGTGTTTCATTTTAAAACTTTCTCAGGAAGGTTTAAGAGATGCTGTGGAGAAGGAGAGGTGAGAACAAGAATTTGATTTGTTCTGCAAATCTTCTTTTCAAACTTGCTTGGTTTTGGGCATCCCAGGGCTCCTCTGAGCCCCTCTGYAAAACCAGACCCAAACAGGACACGGCTCTGGCAGCCCCAGGAGAGTTTTACCATCCCTCCCAGAGCTCTGTGGGCTCTCTCCCAARCAATCCCCAGGATCTCTGTGCACCTTCTCGCTTTAGAGAGCACACACAGCTCCCTCTGCTCCCCAGGCAGCTGTGGTGTCACCCTGGGACAGTGTCCCCAGCCAGCAGTGCCACCAGGCACACATCACTGCTGCTTTTGCTCTGCCCTTCCCCAGCGGTTCAGACTGGTTTGGGAACAGTACATGAGAGTGCAGCCCAATGTCAATATTTCCCACAGTGTTCACTGTTTCACTGACAAAGACAAAGGAAGGATTTTAGTCCCAGTATTTCCAACCTCACATGTAACTGCAGCCTTTTGCAATGTTACCTGAAACCCTCATTCAGCTGTTTCCTCATGCCCCAGACAAGACTCGGTGCTGTCTGTTCAATCAAGGACTGATCCCACAAAGTGCTGATCATCTTCAGTTCCTATTAACTTCTCTTGGACATGAAGGTGCCCAACATCTGCCAGGATAAAACTCATTATCCTTCAAGGCTACACTACAAATATCCAATAAACTGGGGAACGCTATTAAATGCTGAAGAGGGGTAAAATGAGCCTGGGGAAAAAAAAATGTCACCATGGAACAGGTTGCAAAGTAATTCCATGTATTATTTTGTGATTTATTTCAGCGTTACCCATTACATGCTCCAATTTCAAAGAGCAGCAGCGTTTCTAWGGCAGAGATTTAGATGCTCCCGCTGCTGGTTCAGATCATGTCACCCCTTCAGCATCTCACAGATATTACCGGGGCTCTCAGTGACACTGAGCATTTTGCTGATGAGTTTTCTCACCAGTTCAGCTCCAGTACTCATTTCTCATTATTTCCCACAGGACAGTGCCAAAGGGATGGAGCCAAGGAGTGCTGCGGGTAAGGTTACCTGGATGGGCTCTGAGACAGTGACACAATCCTTGGCACGGCTTCACCAGGATAATGTGACTGACTAAAGCACCATCCATAATTCAGACAAAATGATCAATAAAAGCCCTGCGGTTATTTTCGGAAAGACAATCTTCCTCGGGTTCAAAGGCTGTTAGGCAGGGGGATGGTGTCTCCTGATGGGGCATTTCCCCACGCTGCACTAACTCCAGGAACCTGCAGACACAGTTCAGGGGAGAGGCAGTCTACCCCGATAATGAATCTCTTCGGAGTCACAGCTCATCATTATCACTGGCAATTAGCACCAGGTATGGATTTGATTTTCCTCAAAGAAATTAATTTACATGAAAATGGGGGACGCTAATGAAACATCAGCATTACCGGGGATTCACCGTGCTTTAATCCACAAGACACGAGCATTCCCCGCTCCTTACACGATACAGATCTCACACGCTCTGCTGCTGTTCTGTTAAAGGGTGACGGCTCCCCGACAGCGAACACAGATTGGCCTCTTGCAAACAACATATACATGTTAATTAATGTACATATCATTATGTCAGCCTCGGCTGGCCACTGATTTAGACGAGCTGGCAGCAGGCCAGAGCAGCATCTGCGGTGTTGGGCCATTCATTCCCTGTGCCCAGGGAGCCACGGACCCATCCGTGCAACGGGGGCTCGCCGTGATTTTTAGGTACAAATTCACATCGGAAGGAAACATCCCGGCTCCTGCCCGCCTGTTTGCAAGTAAAGCTGCTCCTGAGGCATCCAGGAGACCTTTCAAAAGAGCCTTAAGCACCTTAAAAAGAGGTTTCCCAGGGCAGTTAGAGACAAGCGCCGTTCTCAGCTCATTTTCCGTTAATTAGCGGTGAGGAGTGAGAGTGCCAATAGAGAACAAACGAGCAGGAGGACACACGGGGGGATACAGTCCGCACAATCAGCCAGGACTCTGCACTGTCTCCAGCTCAGTCCAGGCTCAGGGAACCCACAGAGCCACAGAATCGCGGAGGATTTTTGGAGGAAAAGCACTCCAAGATCAAGTTCAGCCCTCAGCCGACACCACCGCACCCGCTAAACCAGAGCACTGAGAGCCACATCTGCTCATTATTGGAACAATTCCAGGGATGGCGACTCCACCACCTCCCTGGGGAGCCTCACCACTCTTCCAGTGAAGAAATCTTTCCTGATACCCGAGCTGAATCTCCCCTAATGCAGCTTGAGGCAGTTTCCCCTGGTGTCCTGGTTGCCTGTCAGAAGTGCCCTTGAAGCACCCACAGCGCCACCCAAATGGGGACAATCTGCACATGGGAACCAAACAATGCTGCCTTCGAGCACAAGAATTCATTCCTGTCCAGCATTGGGGGGCACTGAGAGCCCACAGCCATCCCCTTGTAGAAGAGAGTATGAGKATCAGAAACAGCTGCACCTCTGCGCCAACAACACATTAAAAACAAATACGCTGAAGCAAAAATCCCCTTTGGAGTTACAAGTTTCATCACTTGACTGGTTTTCATTATCTTGAGCACAGGTCACAAAGAAAGCAGCTYCCACAGCACCCCAGAGCAAGGCAGAGCTGTCAATACTGACTCAGAGTGAGATGTAATCACTTGCACTTCAATTTTATGCACATTTGTAACCTCTTCCATGCTTAAAGAGAGAAGATTTACAGTGCAAGAAATGAATTTTATTGCAGCCCCCAGGCATCTCRAGCTATCAAACATATGAAACATCATCTCAGCATTCCAGCTCTGAGCAGGGATGGTCATTGGGATGGCTCCGAGCCTGGAACTCCTGCTCTGATTCCCTCCGCAGTCACTGGGGCAGATAATTCTTAGCTCCTCTCTTTCATTTCCTTAATTCTGGCTTAGCAACCCATATCATTTGTGCCAAACAGAGCAGAGGCTGATTATTAAATTCTAGTCCATCTAAAAGCAAAATGGAGTTTTGTGGCTTCTTCTCCATCTCTGCCAGAAAGACAAAGCTATCCCCATGCTCCGCTGCCTTTAAATTGGGGGATTTAGATGAGAATGAGATGAAAGCAACAGGCCTAAATGATTCTACATGCTTGCCCAAACCCCAACAAATGGAATGAAGCTTGRAGAAAATAATTTTAAATTTGGTATCTGAATGTAAATGGATTGTTCTTTCACATTTTGACATCTCTCTGTCGTGCTGCCCCAGTGTTCTGACACCTTATCAGGTCCCTCATTTTACAAACCCCTTTCACTGCCCGTGCTGGTGCCTCCCTCCAGCCTGGACCCCGTGGCTTTGATGCAGATGAGCAATGAACATCCTGTTTTAATGACAGAATGTGAAAATATTAAATGACAAATACAGCATTAGGAAAAGCGTGTTCATCCCTAATTGCTTTGCAGCCTTCTCATAAATGATATCATCTTCAGCTGTCAGACTGCCCTGTCAGTGTTGGTGCAGCAGCACAAACAGCCCCTGGGTGCTGGGGACATTCTGGGAGATTCCT